TCATTTTGGATGGAGGAACATTTCTTCTTTATCTCTGGAGATATATGTAAAACCGCTTTTTTTCCACAGTCCCTTTCCCGACTCTAACCCCAAATCGAGGACAAAAAGGAGACTGAGCGGCCTTAAAAAACCTTTCCCTTTCTAGAGCAAAGTGGGTTGGAGGAGATGGGGGAGGAGCGGGCTCAGCGAAAGCAAAGAACTGTGACTTTGAATCAATTCACAGATGACTCAGAAACTGAGGAGGCCTTCCCATGTCTTCACATGACACCCTGCAAAGCTGTATTTTGTTCAGTGCTGTTGTCCCTGTTTTTCTCATCATATATGGTCAGTAAATGACAAAATCCTTCTTTCCCAAGGATGCTCTTTTAACCCAAGCTCTTCTAGTTAACCATTTATTAGTGGTTATTACATGTCAGGACTTCCCATGTATTATCGAATTCTCCCAAGGGCTGTATGAAGAAGCCACAATGATTATTCCTATTTTCACAGATAAGGAAAGGCACAGGGAGGTTGAGTAACTTCCTAAGATCACCCAGCAAGGAGGCGGCAGAACTGAATCAAACCCAAGACTTGCTGATCTCAAGCCTGTGCACTGGAACGCCTCCCACACCCTTAAATCACACTGATATGCAGTCAGGCTGAAGATTCTGAAAGGAGGAAGCGACTGATAATTCTGGAATATCAAATGGATACCAGCCACTGAGCCTGGGGCTTTACAGAACTTTCTCCTCACACCTTCTCTATAGCCTATATGATAATTATTACCAACAGGCCATCTGCCTGCCCCAACAAGTTGAGAAAAGAAAGAATTAAATAATGTACCCAAAGTCACAAATCGAGGCAGGGACAAAGCCTTCAAACCTATGTCTGCTTGACTCCAACAAAATAACAACCCTGGAGAGGCCATAGCAATCTGCTTCCCACAGCAAACAGAGATGTTGCATTATTATGTTTCCTTTGGGTTTTACTAGGCAAGGCCTACTGTGTTTGTCCTTATAGATCAAGTCTCTTCCAACTTCATTGTAAAATAATACATAATTTAGTAGATTATTTTAAATTACAGTATTCTCTCACCAAAAGACAGATAATAACAAAGGTTGGCAAAAGCATGCAGAAATTGGAAACCTCATATACTGCTGGGGAGAATGGAAAGCAGAGAAATCGCTCTTGAAGACCATATGGCTGTTGCTTTAAAGACTAGACCTAGAGTTACCATTAACCTAGCAATTCCACACCTAGTGACACACCTACGATAATTGAAAATCGATGTTTGCTCAGAAACTTTACGTGAATATTCACAGCAGCACTCTTCATAATAGTCAAAGAGTGGAAACAGCCCAGGGTGCCTGGGTGGCTCAGTCAGTTAAGTGGCTGACTCTGGTTTCGGCTCAGGTCATGATCTCAGGGTTCCGGGATGGAGCCCCATGTGGGGCTCCATGCTCAGCGGGGAGTCTGCTTCAGGATTCTCTTTCCCTCTCCTTCTATCCCTACCCTCATTCATGGACTCTCTCTTTCTCTAAAATAAATAAATACATCTTTTTTTTTTTTTTAAGTGGAAACAGCCCAAGCATTCATCAACTTAAGAATGGACAAAGAAAAATGAAGTCTATCCACACAATGGTTCCATTTAAGTGAAATATCCAGAATAGGCAAATCCAGAGAGACAGAAAGTAGGTCAGGGATTGCCAGGGTTGGAAATGGAGATTCCAGCTAACAAGTACATGTTGCTTTTGGGGATGACAAAAATGTTCTACAACTGACCCCGGTAATGATGGCACAACTGTCTGAATATGCTAGAAACCACCGAAGTATACACTTGGCATAGGTAAATTGGCAGGCGAGAATTCTACCACTGAACCACCAATGCGGCATAGGTAAATTGGATGATGTGTGAATAGTATCTTGATAAAGCTGTTATACATTTATATTAAAAATCTGCTCCAGGGGCACCTGAGTAGCTCAGTCAATTAAGAGCCCGACTCACGAATTCAACCCAGGTCATGATTTCAGGGTCGTGAGACCAGCCCCACGTCGGACTCCATGCTGCGCGTGAAGCCTGCTTAAGATATTTCCCTCTCCCGGGGCACCTGGTGGCTCAGTGGGTTAAAGCCTCTGCCTTCAGCTCAGGTCATGATCTCAGGGTCCTGGGATCGAGCCCTGCATCAGGCTTTCTGCTCAGCAGGGAGCCTGCTTCCTCCTCTCTCTCTGCCTGCCTCTCTGCCTACTTGTGATCTCTGTCTGTCAAATAAATAAATAAAATCTTCAAAAAAAAAAAAAAAAAGGATTTTCCCTTCCCTCTGCCCCTCGACCCCCCCACTTCTTCCTCTCTAAAAAATAAAAATGCCTCCCATGACAAAAGCCAGTTATTGTGCATTTGGTAGGCTCTCCAGAAATATCTCTTGAATGAAGGCACCAAAGTTCTTTATGGGTATTTAAAAATAATACACGTTCATTAAATTCAAATATGCCTTTTAGGAGTAGATAGATGGTGCTTGCTTTGCAACGATGTCACAGGAAGTACACCCAGACTCGACCATCCCTGGAACTGAGTGCTGATGACTCTGACTTCTCAGGAGCAGAGATGTCGCCTTGATGAAGGAAGTTTACCAACACACCCCCATTGCTGGAACTCCCCATCGGTGCCAACAGGACCAAAAGCAAGAACCATGTGTAATTTGCTGACGATGAGGATGGCACTGAGGGTTAACTGTCCCCCCAAACCCTCAGTGAGCCAAGTCCAGAGCAGCGGAGAACCTCCAGGGTGACTGAAGACCACAAGCTGGTAAACCGTCACTTGGGTCCCGGAATCTGAGAAGGTGAACAACAACCTTCCTTTGTTGCTAGAGGAACTCCCCAGAGGAGCTCCTGGTAGCATTTACTATTTATGGCCACATTTAAGCTAATATGAAAGAGTATGGAAAGAAAAAAAAATAATAATAAGTTCCAGAGTAAAAAATGGAAACCAATATTCAGGGTTGCAGGGGAGAGGATGTGGAATAAATAGAGTCTGAACTTGAGATCTAGCTGCAGAATTAGCCTGATGTGAATTGTTCAAAGAGCCAAGAAGAGAGGATATGGATGGTGAGTGCACTGGGGAAGAAACAAGGCAGAGCATTCGTGGATTTAACAGCAAAACAAATTAGCTTCACAGACAAGCTTCTCAGGAGCAGACAGAGTCCAGAACCTAGCACTGACTAGATAATCTTTTCAGGGAATGGATTTCAAGCCTTCCTCACCAGGGAACAAAAACCTCCCAAGAATAATTTAGAAAGCACGTATTTTAGGAGCCCTGGATTTGCAAAATGTTTGGTCTGAGGCTCCTTTGCAAAATGGAAGTAGGGGTATGGTACAGAATTGGAAAAGATTCATCTGAGGCGACACGGCTCTGAGACGTGATGTGGGGAGCTCCCGACTGCACATGTCTGGAGATTCACTAGCATTATTTTGGAAGGAGTCGGTCTCATCTACGAAGACACATCCTCGTGGGAAACAAAACACAACTACAAAAAAATGGAGGATGGACTCCCTGTGTGAAGGATAGCTGGGAGCTTTCCTGTCTTATTCGTTGGCTTTCTAAAACAGCTCTGTGAGGTAGATGTGTTACCAATGAGGAAGGAACTGTGGCTCAAAGAAATCGGGCCTCTTTCCTGAAGTCATATAACTAGTAAGTGGGGCAGGGGGAGGATGTGCTTGTGAGTCTTCAAACTTCTTCTTCTTTAACTTTTTAAAAAGATTATTTATTTATTATTTGAGAGAAAGAGAGAGACACAGAAAGAGAGAGACAGAGAGAGAGAGCGCAAGCAGGGGGAGGGGCAGAAGGAGAAGCAGGGAGAAGGATGCGGGACTCAGTCCCAGGACCTTGAGAGCATGGCCTGAGCTGAAGGCAAGCACTGGACTGACTGAGTCACCCAGACACCCCTGGGTCTTCAAACTTCTCAACCACTCTTATCTCCACTACCCTACAGCTTCCCAAAGTAAAGCGGTCATCAATTTCCCCAGCCACGGAAGGCCTTCTAGAATGAAAGACTAATGACTTTCCGACAGAGATGGAAGACCACCAGGAAACACCACAGACCAGAGGAGGATACCAACCAAATAATAGGAGGGCCTCAGGCTTTGGGACATCTGCAAGTCCGGGACCCTAAGAGAAGGACTATGTGTGAAATATTAGTCGAAATAAAAACATCAGTAACTTCCATTACATCTAGCCCCCCGCCCCCATCTGACAGCTTCCGATTTATTTTGTTGTCTGTTCTTGGTGAAGAGTGTACCAGAAGATAAGAATTTGGAGATTTTAGAATGGAACTTTTCTTAACATTACTCGGTGTCTTATTTGAACTGTAAATATTGAAATGTGCTCCTAGACTGGTCAGTTCTTGCTATAGCCAATAAATATACAAAATCAAGAAGAAACACACTTTGTAATAGCTTTCAACTTCCCTTACACAATTCACAAAGATGAGACCATGGCAGAAGTTGTTGATTTTGTCACTGACCTTTTATAATCATTCTCCACCATAGATCTTCCTTTTGGGTTTTGTGGGACAAATTTTCCCACTGTTTCTTCCCTTATAAACCCATCTGGCTAAGGTCCTATCATTCTCAATGACATAAGGTCATAAAAGGGGAAACTGCACTTGACAGGGATGCCAAGGAAAAAGAATATTTTGTCCTGGGAACCTTTTTCTGAATCTGTGATGAGCCCACAGGCTGAAAACATTTCAGAAGGAAATACTGCGTTTCTATCCATGTATAGTATTGGCCTGTCAGTTACAAGCAGAAAGAATACTGGACAGACAGTCAGGGCGCTGTGTTCAAATGTGTCCTCTGCCAGGAATTAACCAGGTAGGTAAACTTCACCAAGGGCTTTCTTCTTTCCTGGCTGCAAGCTCTCATCTGACTCATGAAGAGCTCACAGTAGATCAGCCCTACAGACTATTCCAGCTGTTAGACACTCTGGCCCCTGGCTTTGCCCTTTCTGGTGATTTCCTAGCAAGTACCTGTTTCTTGGTCACCGTGCCATCCACAGGGTCCACATATTCAAAGCAGTCTGTCTTTGCCACACTGTAGACGTGGTTGCCCACAGCGAACTGCTGGCCGACGAAGGACTTATCCGTGACCAGGGCCTCCAGGTCCCTCATGATATAATACGTCGTCTTGGGCTCTAGCCCCTCATAGTCAAACCTGGAGAGGGAAGGCAGGATACAGGGTGAAGACAAACCTAGCTAGAGAGCCAGCAACAGGGCAGACCACTCAAGGTCATTTGATCCTTGGTTTTGTTTTCCTGGAAGAAGAGCACAGAGAAGCATCCCAGTCGGTCCCCATGGTCTCTTACCTGACCCACAGAATCCTGGCCCCATAGAGGAGCCCAAATGATCTTGTAAAAAGCACATGGAGTCATGTCCTTTATTTTAAATCCTTCCCCAAGTGCCCATCAGTTGAGAACAAGACTCTAGCCACAGACCATAACCCGCTGTGAGATCAGACCCCACCTACCCCTTGACTTTGTCCCACTCTCACCCTTATTCCCTATGCTCCAGCCACACGGGCTTCCTCTTCCAGAGACACTTTGCCCTGCCCTGCCTTTGGGACTTTGCCATTGCTGTCTGCTCCCTCAACCTGGTATATTCTCTCTCTCTTTTTTTTTTTTTTAAGTTTTTATTTATTTATTTGAGAAAGAGAGAACATTGTGAGGTGAGTGGCAGCTTGCAGGGGAGAAACAGGCTTCCCACTGAGCAGGGAGCCCGGGATGGGGATCCATCCCAGGACTCAATCTGGTATATTCTTCCCCATGACCACTCACGTACCTGGCACATTCTCTTCTGTCACTTTTCCAGCTTAGTGTCACCTCCAGAAAGTGACCTTCTCCGACCATCTAGTCAAGATTTTTCCCTCATCTCTCCCTCTCTCACATCACTCTTGATATTTTCTTGTGGTACTTATCCCAATCTGTATTTACTTTGTTTGTGTATTTGTTTATTTATTTCTTATCTGCCTTTGCCGCCATGAACCACAAGCTCCGGGAGGCCAGAGACCTTCTCTGTTTTGTTCTCTGCTGCTTCTAGTAAGTGTTTACTAAGCAGTGGGATGAAAGATGGGAGGAAGGGAAGGGAGGGAGGAAGGAAGGAGAGAGAGGAATCAAGGGAGGTGAAGAGAGAAGGAGGAAGGGGCCTCAACATACCATAAAACTCTCTTGGAAACTTGGAAGAAATACCCCAATTGTTCCATTAAAAAAAAAGTCTTTCTAGCCAAGAACATCAAATGTAACAATGGGGCTGGGAGGTGATTAGGAAAAAAAAAAAAAAAAAAAAGACTAAAAATAACACATATCTCATTTGTTCTTGTCGGGCTTAAATACCATAATGCATATCAAGTGATGCCAGACACCATTGCTTAAAATTATTAGTGGATTTTATTCTTGGTCACTATCACAAAGAAACTGGAGTCTTCCCCTGTGTCAGATGGTATCGACCAAGACCAAATGGCAAGCCCAGGGGGCGCTGTTAAAGAAGGAAGCCCTTGAGGGGCAGCTGGGCCCACATGGCTGTGGTGAGCTCTCACACTGGGCTCTGTGTGACACAGGGACAAGATGTGGGCTCCCAGCCCGCTGAAAGAAGGAAGACTTGAATCAATGCTACTTCTTCTTCACCCAAGATCTTTTAAGACTTTGAGTAAACATCAGGGTATTAACCAAAATGGAAAACATGGAATGATGCCATTTCTAGTAGTGGGTCCCCTGTCCCTGTATCTCTGTCTTGTAAACTCTCCCTCCAACACAGATGTACCCTCCCCAGCCTCAGAAACAAAACAACTGGGAACTCTTTCAGAACACTGGAGGCAGTGGGTGAGTTCTGAGCCTAGAATCTCTTTAAAGATAGTCTTTTGGGGGAAGATCGAGACCCAGCCAAGCAGAGAGGGGTAGAAGGATGGGATAAGAGGGTTTATTAGGATACGGAGGGAGCAGTGAAAGAGATGCAGAAGTTGGGGAAATCCACTGACAGGACATGTCACATTCGGTCTTGGTCAAGCCTGCCCAAATGCTTATCTTCGTAACCAAGCAGACTCTGGCACAGCACCCCCTTTGCTACCGCAAATAACCCCCTCTGACCACCACAACCCACACTTTCAAGGGAGGCAATCTTTCTCTTTTTAAAAAATTAATTACTTTTATTAACATATAATGTATTATTTTGCCCCAGGAGTACAGGTCTGTGAATCGTCAGGCTTACACATTTCACAGCACTCACCATAGCACATACAAGGGAGGAAATTTTTCAATGGGGAGTTCCTTCTGGGGTCCATTCACACAAGGAAAATCATCTGGGTTCCCAGATACAACTTCAGGTTCAGAAACAGTTAAACCAAAACTGTTGGATTATCTCCTCCCCACCACAAAGAACAGGCTAGAAGTCTTTTTATTTCACAAGGATCTCTCAACCTGTATCTGCTGGAGGCTGAAAAAAGTGTTAACCTTTCATTCTACCTACTCCCTCTTCCTTTTTTCTTTATCTCTGTGATCATTTTGGACAGAAATCTGAAACGTAAGTCAATGTTCTACAAGAATTTAAATCGCCATTGCATTATATTCTCTAATACCGTACTTGTTATGAAAAAAGTAATTATCCTCTAAGCTCTTGGCCACAGAAAAAATGAACTATATTCTAAATACAGTCATCATAACACCATGTCCTCAAAACACTGGCACAAAGTTAGATAATCATTGCACAAATTATGAGGAACACATCCTTAACTCAAAGGGATCTCACTAAGCCAGAGGTTGGCGATCATAACATATTTTTATCAGGCTGGACTTTTTTTTGGAACAGCTTCGTGCAATGGAATTACTTCCCAGGTACGCCAAAAAGGCCCACGAGAATCGGGATTTTTTGGGCACTTGTGAGAAACACTAGTAAGTATAACAAATGCCCAACCTGCCTTGAGAGTAACTGCCTTGTTTATGAAACAAGGTACCATTTGAGGTGGTTTTCAGGGAACTGCAACCTCTCCCTTCTTGACTAAACAGGAAAAAAGACTATTATGGCCGTGTCAACACTCCCCAGAGCCCTGTAATCTTTTTGATGATAATGAGGCCTCACGCAGGCTTTCTTATTCTCTGATATTTATCTAAGTAAATGACTTCTTAAGAGAAGAAACAATCACCTTATAAGGGAAGTCTAAAGCTTTCTTTCTGTTCCTTAAGCCCTTGAAACATAACCAAACATCCAAAGTAGTTAACTGTTCAGAAACAAAGCAAAGAAGCCACCATATCTGTTTTCCTTACATAGAGAGTCTCTGAGGCTACCCAAAGATTCCCTTGCCCCATCCCCAGGTTCTCCACAGTTAACGTCCTTGCCCATCACTTCTCCCCCAAATTGGTGGCTTGGTACTTGGAACACAAACTTAGCATACCTAGGTACACATATCTAGCCGGCAAAGAGGCAGCCAGAAGACTCTGCCCCCTCACTTACTTCACAAACAAGAAAGTGACATAGATAGACCCCCAATCCTGAGCGCTTAGCCACTGACCTTTGCCCCTGCTCCCTCCCAGGGTAACAGTTCCCTCTTCTGTATCTCCTTTCACAGGGACAAAACTTTAGCCAAATCTGGGGCTCCTGAACCATGCGGCCCCTTCAGAGGGCACCTTAGACACTGTTCGACCCTTAGCAAGCAAGTAAGACAGAGGGAAGAGAGGATTACAAAAGCAATCTGACCTATCCGTTTTGTCTCTGCTTCCATTTCTTGATAATTATAGATGGAGGACTAACAAGGAGAGCCCCTGATTAGATGATCCAACTCTCCCGGACAACAAAGGACTTTTAAGGTTCTTGCAGTTCAGAGTCCTTCTTGGAATGGATGCCCATGTTACAGGCACAGGTGAAAAGATTACAGATGAAAGTCTCTAGGGGAGGGGAAATTTCTGCCTTGTGGTTCGGATGCCCTTGACAGGTCGCCCAAACGCCTATCAGGAGCTCCAGCCCCTGGGTTCCTCAGATCATCCTGAAAGCTGCCTCCTTCTTAAGGTTCTAGCCCACCACTTTTCTCTAAGAGCAGTTCCCCAGGGACGCCGCACTCCTCACCTGCAATAGTAGTGGCGACCAAATCTGGCCCAGTGATCTCGGACGATTTCCTCCACACTCTGCTTCCGGGCAGCCAGAATGGAGAGCCAGACCAAGACAGCCCAGAGCCCATCCTTTTCCCGGAGGTGATCAGAGCCTAAAGAAGAAAGAAGAATTCTGCTGAGGAATTGTTCGGGGGGGGGGGGGGGGGGCGTAAAAGCCAAATGAACCATGAAGACCAGTTAGCAACTGAGATTTGAAATGGTTGCCTATATTTACCTATTGTGATAAATACACGTCCCATACTATACTTGCATTTTTGAAAAAAATCCAACTGAATTTCAAGTAACATAAAATAACATCGAAAAAGAAAATACAATCCTGGAATTTGTTGAAAGTACCAAAGAGCTAAGCTGACATCACATTTGCCCAATGTTATCATTCATTCAGTCAATAATTTTTAATCCTTACAACATACCAAGCACTGGTCAAGGTGCTAGGGATAGAGCACTGAATAAGACAACTCTTTATTCATAAAGCTTGAACTCGAGGAGGTAGAGACAGGCAACAGAAAAGTAGACGAGAGAACAAGATGCATTAAATAAGGACAAGGGCTATGAAGAAAGTCACAGAGTATGACAGCAGCAAAAACTATGTTACCTAGAGTAGTATAGTTTGTCTACAGAAGGGCTAGTGGTGGCTTTCCCAAAAGACATGTTCGCCCAGTACCTGTGACCGTGACCTTAGCTGGGGAAACAGTCTTGCAGATACAATTAAGGATCTTGAGATGAGAGCATCCTGGGTTACTCAGGCAGACCTTAAATCCAATGACATGTGTTCCTCAAAGGAGAGAAGAAGATATAGAGAGGAGAAATAGAGAGGAACAGGTGACATAAAGACAGAGACAGAGACTGAGACTGGCATTGCTGTCGCCAGTGAGGGAACACAGGGAGCCACCTAAAGTGGAAAAAGGCAAGGAAGGGCTCTCCCCTAGAGCCTTCAGAGGAAGGACGACACTGCCAACACCTTGATTTTGGATTTGTGGAACAAAGTCCTGTTGTTTTAAGCCCCCCCGCCTCAGGTTTACAGTGATTTGCTGCGGCAGCCTTAGGAAATGAGTACAGGCTGTCATGGTCAGCTCCACTGAGATGATGACATCTGAGCTGCCATGTGGGAAGGAGTTAGCCACGCTGAGATGTGGGCACAAAGCATTCCAGACCAAGGGACAGCAACCACAAAGTCCCCCATGCAGGAATGAACCAGGTAACTCAACCCTACAGCAGCTCTGTAGAAAGACAGGCAGTTCATATCGTGGCATTCACAGGAACGCCAAAAGCCCGCTGAACAGGTAGGTTTCTTTGCAAAAAAGAACCAGAAGGAAATGCGAGAGGCCCACTTAAGCACCTGTCTCCCGGCCGGCTCTAAGCTCTCTCTGAAGTGAAGAGGGCCCAGAATCCAAGGCACTTGTAACAGAGTAAGGAACACGGTGACAGGAAAAGCATGGGAAGGCTTTGGAATGAGGGTTTGAAACCAAACTCCTGCTACCTCTCGCATGTGTGACAAGTTGCTGCACAGTTATTAAGCTTTCTGAGCCTCAACTTCTCATCTGTACAAGGAGGACACCAACACCAATCTCGTGGGGTTGTCCTATCAATTTAATCAAGTCCAGAGGGCAGGCTCTTGGGTCAGGTTGCTCACATTCAAGTGCTGGTTCCACACTTCTCTTTGTGGGACTGGCTGTTCTCGTCCACAACATAGGGACAAGGATGGTTCCCACCCCGCGGAGTCACTGTTAGGATGTACTGGTAATTCACACAATGCACCAACATGGCGCTGATTCCTTAAGACACCCTTTCAGGCAGATTGTTCTCAGTTATTCCTATACTGTAATCCTCTGACACTAGCAATAACCATATTGTAAGAATGGCGACTGGGACCAGGGGCTGGACCATCGCTTCTTGCAATAGAGCAGTGAGAATGGACAGAGGACTCTGGTTTCAGGGCTATGAAACAGAATAGAAAATCAAAAAGAGAGACCCAATGTCTCAAAGCTATTGAAACCTTGAAAATGGGATGAAATAATACTTTAGTTAAGTTAAATATTTTTGACAACTTCTCAATGAAGCTATGAGCCATTTACTGTTACATTTATGGTGTTAAGCGTTAAATGCTTTTCCTTGAAAAGGAAAACATACAACCTTGAGAGGGCGGTGAAGATATGTAAAAGGAGAAACAATCAGTGTCTGCTTCTCCTTCTGCACTGATCAATGACGTGCTGATGACGCTTTCATACGTCTGGTTGCCGCTGCCTCCAGGTTGAGAGGACCCCAGACGTTAATCATCACACCATGGGGTGACTCTTGTCTTATCCAGCGACCTCTTCACACGGCTACAAAAATGGAAGAAGTTTGGAAGATGCTGGGCTGGCTCCATGGCTGAGTGCCAAAATTACAAGTCTAGGAAACCCTGCCCAGTGGGATAATTTCAAAACCTTTAGTCCTTTTATAGCTGAAAAATCACTTTTATTTACTGGCTAGAGAAAAATACTCTTTTGTTTTAAAACATGGGCTTTGCATACCTTGCGTTTCCAGCTGGATTACATTACCTGGAGATAGAACCATTAGAGGATATTAACTCTGTGAAAGAAGATGGCATAATTTAGTGGGAGAAGAGACATGAAGTTCTTTTAGCAAGATTAAAAAAAAAACAAAAAACCAAACACCTCGCCCATTTGTCACCAACTCGGCAGGAGATTGTGACGTTGGTTTGGATATATTTGCCTACAAGTTAAACATCTGCAAAAATTCCTAAGGGGAAATGATCTAGTAAAATGAATTGTGCTCTTTACAGCTGTCTGAGGTGGGGATGGAGACACTGATGGGATGTTGCATTTACACACACATTTCCCCTGGATGCTCATGGAATGCTTTGGAGAGGGTTTTGGGGATACAACCCTCCTTTTAATAATTCTCTAAAGCAAATGAACTATCATGCCATATCAGTGACAGGTACATTAAATAAGAAATGCAGAAAATACAAAGGTATTAAATGGTTTTCTGAAACCCCACCATAAACTGAGTAAAAACAGAGGGAAGAGCTATTCGCATTATAGATTATAAGGCTTAACACACTACATATTTATAAATATTTTATGAGTCAGTGAGAAAAAGAGACACCCCGATAGAGAACTGTGGAAGGGCAGAAATGAGCAATTTCGCAAGAGAAAAATATTAATAGTTCAAAACATTTGGACAAATGTTCGGTCTCATTGCGGTCAAGTCCATTAAATGGGATGATATTTGGAAACTGCCAATTGGCAGAGGTCAGGGGAAGGGGAATACTGAGTACCAGTGTTAGTATAAATGTGTAGTTTGATACCGTAACTTGGCAAAAATAATCAATAGTCTTAAAGTATCACCCAGGTTTGGACCCAGCTATCCTACTTTTTAACCTTTAGCCTAAGGACATTTTACTAAAGTAGGTAAGAGAAGAGAGGAAAATTGGACAAATACATGCTAATCATTACACATCAGGATAATTGTGGAAAATCCATCCAAAAGCTTGTTTAGATGTTTTCATAAATGGAACAATTCAGCTTACCAAGGAAGTATATTCAGTATATTTTTGGAGCAAAATATAGGTAGATATGTCTGTATGTATGTGCACAGATAAACAACAGGAGGACCACCCCACCCTTAACAATATCTCGGAAATGGTAGAATAGCAGGTGTTTTCTTCTTCTGCCCTATTTCCAGAAGAAAGATATACTTTTTTCATTATAAGACAAAAGGTCTTCAGTGGTGGGTAGAAAGTCATATCTGAGGACATTCAATTCCATTTATCAAAGAGCTGGTTGGGATAGTAAACAGATCGCTTATGAATGGGTGATGGACTTTGAACCTATCAATCATCCCATAGAGACTGAATATGACCCCCCTCCCTGTGGGTCTCACAGGTCTTGGGATTAGGATCAGGAATATCCGGAAGGTTTTAGAGACTAACAGAAGTTGAGGATGGGGAAGAAGGTGTGCAGCTGAGCTGTTAGCACTGGCCTTGGAGGAAGCTGGGGAAGCTTATTTTGTAGCCTACCTTTAGCTTCACAACAAAATGGATTAAAAAGTATGGGGAGTCCCCTCTACTCCTTGTCCTCACACAAAGACAACTTCCCCCCACTATTAACAGTCCCCAGTGCAGGAGGACATTTATTATAGGTGTTGAACCTACACTGACACACGATTATCACCTGAAGTCCATAGTTTATCCTTGGGTTCCCTCTTGGTGTGCAGTCAAGGATTTGGACAAGCACGGCAAACTACTAATCTTTTTGCCATCTTCATAGTTATGCCTTATCCAGACTACTTACTCCAGTAAGAATATTGGCCTCATGGAAGATAAGGGGGAAATCAAGAGCATGCTCAGTCTCAAACTGATTTTCTCCTCATGGAAATTCCAGCATGGACAAATCAACACAATAAAACATGAACACAATCAAGTCATCTCAGCTGAGACTCAGATCAGGAACGTCTGAACTTGTCAATTAGGAAAACAGATATCACTGTGCACCTTTTGCAGGCCCCAAGCTAGAACAAGAATTATGATTCTCAATCCAGGCTGCATATCAGAGTCACCTAAAGAACTTATAAAAATTCCAAATATCAGTGCAAGGCCTCATTCCTGACCATTAAAACGAGAATTTTTGGCAACGGGATCCGGGCATTGGTATTTTTTTTTTTTAAGTTCCTCAAGTGATTCTCATGGGCCGCTGGGGTTGAGAGCCACTGCATTAGGAGAAGAAAATCAAAAGAGGTCCATGTTAGGGGCAGATGGCTTCTTTTTGTCCAAATTTGACCTCTTATTTTTGTCCAAATTTGGTGCTAAATGAAAGTGGCCACTAGTCTCCAGTTTGATGGATGCCACAGGTCCTGCTTTCGTGGGTGGCTCCTGCTGGAGCCAGGGTCAGGATTATGCTTTCTCCTTGCCCTTTCTGTCTGGAAAACTTGGGAGGATTTTACCAACTCTGGGGTAACCAACTCGTCCCAGTTTAACCCAGAACCTTCCCAATTATAGCAGTAAATGTCCCCCCCACCCCCAACCAAGAAAACCTCTCAGTCCCCAGCATGCCAGGATGGGTGATCATCTAAAAAGAAGGGCCACTCC